GTATGAATCATACGGTGAAAAACTGACTTTGAAAAATAAATCTGTTCTTTTTTCTTGTAAAAGTTTAAATAAAACATAAATTTTGGTGGTCGTTTTTCACTGTGTAGGTTTAATAATGGCACCCCAAAGCGGAGCTGCGTTCCGGCAGCGCAGCTGAAAGAAGCGGCTTATTGGCGGCTTTAAGGCTTTCTGCTTGTTGTGTTTAGGTCAGTGGAGTTAAGCACACACATCCTGGATCATCACGGTCTGATCCGGATGCTGTACGGTCCCCCCCCGCCATCAGGCGGGGTTCAACACCCCCCACCCCCCTCTTTCAGGGGCACTCAGGAGGAAATGATTAGGACATGTCCCTGCCTTTAGACATCTGATGGTAATAATATTAGCATCCTGCACAGACCGCAGCAAACTGGACTTAACCCTTTCATCATGGAAGAGATGAGCTGGAAACCATCAGCAGCTAAACAACAACAAGAGAAAACACCTGTAAACAGACAGTCTCTCATTATGATGTGAAGACAACAAAAACACACATTCTAACACAAACTCATGTTTTCTTTTATTTTACTGCAGTAAACATTAATAAAAGTCCAACTTTCAACAAATAAAAACATTTTTAATTCACATTTCTTACTTAAACGTCTGCATTTATATTTGCAGATGAATGTTTTTTTAAATGACAAACAGATATTTGCATAAATCCAGAAGTTATTTTGAACTGTTTAAACAATTTAATCATGTTTTTATGTAAATTATATAAAAGATTTTGAATTTGGCGATCTCACAACACGTGGCTCACAGTCAGACAGATGATACTGATAAAAAACTCAGAGCAAAACAGTTTGATTAAATTCAGTTTATTTTTAAGCAATCAGAAGAAATGCATTTATATTTCACGTCTTCCATCAAGCTTTAATTAAAAACCGATACAGTGTCAGGAAATTAAATATTGATATTTTCTTACACCGTTATAGTTTTGGGTTCTCCTGTGTTTCACCTCTCTCTGAGCCTTTCTAAATATCATAAAACATACAGTTTATACATCCAAATACACTAAAAATACAATTATTTGTGCCTTAATATTCATGTAATCAACCATACAACCTTCAAATTCATGGAATAAAATAAACATTCAAACAATTTATAATCAGTTACCATTCATCTATTTCTGTCAGGATTTATGGGTCTGAGTTTGTTCTTTGTTTTAATTCTTGTTTCCTGTTTGTTTGCATGGAGACAAATACTGATCACTGTAACATTCATAACTTTACCCATCCCCAGATGGCTTTTAACAATTTAAAAACAGTTTTAAAACAAGAAAACAGCACAATAAACCATCATACAATTAATATGAACAACTTCAAAAAGAGCAGAGTGAAACGCTGACTCGTCACTTTACTGCTGATCGTAATCTGGTGTTTTTAAAGAAAATCCTTCAGTTTTAAACTCAGAGGTCCACATGTTAACGCCTCGCACAGATTTTACAGAAACACACCTGGCAGGTCGTACTGGACGCACCTGGAGTTACAGAAGCTGCAGGTCTGACCTCTCAAACATATAAACACTAATTATTACAATAATTAACCAAACTGTCAAAAGTCATCATATGTTTGTGTACAGTGCTGTGAGACAACAGTCGTGACTTGGTGCTATTTTAATAAACTGAATTAAATATTAATTTATTAAAGGGATCCATGATTAGTTGTAACATTAGACTTTATTTAATAAACATTTATTTAACTGTAAAGTAAAGACTGTAAAAA